ATTCATTCAATTTTAAAATGCTTATTGAGGAACTACTACTTAGTCGAAGCACTGGGAACATAAAGATGACTGAGATTCCGGGGCAGGGGAGTCAAACCTTCAAATAAATGCACAAATGTTATTACAGACTTGAAGATGTTCAAGTAACGTACGGTAGCAGCATTACGAAGGAAGTATAAAAGTCTCCAAGAGAAATTCAATGACTCAACAAAGACTCCTTCGAGGGGGGACAGAAATGATGGACTGAAGGGTTAGCAGTCGAGGTAGGGGGCGAGGCTCCGGGTGGCTGACACCACCGGGAAACGGAAACAGCGAAAGCAGAGGCAGGGAGGCGTGAAACTGCTTGTTCTGCCCTGGGATCGCCCTCACACCCCTTTGTCTCCAGACACGGAGTTCGATCCCTCACGGTGGAGTATGTCTTAAGCAATTTGGGACTATAAATCCTAGCAAGTAAGCTGCAAAGCAGGATCTAGCCTGAGGAGACTTCTAAGAGTTGAAACAGAAGCGGCCAAGTTTCAAAAAGAAGGGGGCTCCGTTGGCGGCGGGGGCTTGCCAGAATATAATTGTGCGGTCGCGGACACTTGCTTCTCAGGGAGCCCTGCCCCGGGTCCTCGCCCCGAAGGCTGACCCCACGAATCGGCCGGGCGCGCAAAGCCCTCTGGACGCCTCATCTGCAAATCCCGCTCCCTGAGCTTGGAGACTCCCCAGCTCGTCCGTCCCTTCTCGGACGACTCACTCGGCGCCGCCGAAAGCCGGCGGTGGGAAATACTGTTCTCTGGCCTGGCCACGCTAAGCTGCTCTGGGCAGTGGATCCAGGCCAGACGCGGGTGCAGGCCAGACGCTCGCGACAGTCCCGGGGCACCCGCCGCACCCTCACGCTCCAAGCTCACGAACCGCCGCGCCGTCAGAGCTCGAAGGCGGGCGCGCGCCTCAGCTGCTGCCAGAGCGCGCCTGTGCGTGTTTATCCCTCTAATTGGTTTTTATCGAATTCTTCCCCGGGGCTCGTTTCTTCGAGGTTTCTTTCCTCTGGCTGTGTGAGTCAGGCAGTCAAACAATAGGAGAGGCTTGAGGCCTACGAGTCTGAGAATTCCCAGGGCGCCGGACAGGAAAGGTGGCTGTGTGGAGTTGTCACCTCAGAGAGTCGCGATCCGGACCCTGGAGGAAGGACCCACACCTTCCCGGGTATTGCAAGCCCACTGTGGGCTTCTGGGGAGCAAAGTTCGGGCCCCACATCCTCGCTGCAGGCCGCCCCTCCCAGGGGACCGGGGCGCCCGCCGCTCCGGCCGCCATTTCCCAGCAAGCCTCCAGGGGGCCTCCCCGCCGCGGCCTTCCTGTCTGCAGCTCCCCGGCCCAGGGGCGGCCGCGCCGCAGAGGGACGCGCCTCGGCGCCCGGGCCAGTGCGCGGACAATGACCCCTTCTCCCCTCGCCGCCTCCTTCTCCCGACGCCGCCCCCCTCGCAGCCCCCAGACAAACCTATTAGCCATTCAGGCCGACAAAACCCCGCGGCCCCGCGCATTGTCCCGCGGAGCGCCCGGCCACCGTCATTAGCCCTGATTACGCTGAGCCGCCTGACAGCCCCGCGGGCAGCTCGGCGGACCCCCCATTCACCGCCGGCCCCCGGCCCCGCCTCACAATAGGAGCGGAAATCGTCCGCGCTCTCGCGTCCCGGCTGAATAGAGCGAAAAGCTGCTTCTCTTCTCCTCCCGCCCCATTCACGCTCTCTTTGGATACAATATTTTTTTTCCTTTTTGTTAAAATTGGGGAAGAAAAACGAGGTCAAGGAAGATTTGCTTGAGCTCTTTGCCTGTCATTTGTTTAACGTAAACAAAGAGCAGGTCTTCCCCCCAGCCTCTCATCCCCTCCCGCCCAGATTTTTATAAACAAACTGCTGATGGAAAGGGCAGCGCGGGGGGTGGGGGTATGGGGTACCAGAGTGGCGGTGGAAGCCGAGTGGGTCACTAAAGTAGAGGAGGGAGGAACTGCGGCATTTGGGGAGCTGGAGCTATATAGCGTTTTTGGTAGACCTGGAAGGTGGTTGAAATGTTTAGAACCGTAAAGGATTGAGGGTTAAATCCTCACACTGCTCAGGTTTGTTGAAATGTAAAAATGCAGCTTCTTTCTACTCTGCTGGAGTAACTGCTTTTGGGCAAAATGTTACAGGAAAAGAATTTTTAAAAAAGAAAGAAAAGAAGCCCATCATCATAGGTATTTCTCCAAATTCAGAAACCTTCAGCACTGCTACTAGCTGGAATTAAAAACAAGAACAAACAAAAACCCTTTTCTAGACCGGGATAAAACTGACCCAAAAAAAAAAAAAAAAATCGTCAAAAGTAAACGAAAACCTTTACAATATCTGTCCATGGGAAGATCTGGGCCAATTTAAATAAAATCTGTGTGAAAATTTGGACCAGTTTCCAACATGTAATCATCAATGAATTATTCACAAGGAATTGTTATTTATATTTAGGTGCCGCTAGCTTTAGATAAATATTAAGAAGTCTTTTAAATAATATGTCACCTCTTAAGATGCTAAATAAAATTGTATATAAATGAATCAACTAATTGGTGAAACAGTATAATATAACCCTTAGGCAGCATGTTATTTTAAGCAAATTAGATGTAATTTAAAGGAAGGTGTACTTTATAGGCTTTCACCAAAGCAGGAAGAAAAATCCCCCATCACTGTTTTGTTGTTGTTCAGTGGCTCAGTGACTCTTTGCGACCCTATGGACTGCAGCCCACCAGGCTTCCCTGTCCTTCACCATCCATCTCCTGAAGCTTGCTCAAACTTTCATCCATTGAATCAGTGATGCCATCCAACCATCTCGTCCTCTGTTGTCCCCTTCTCCTCCTGCTTTTAATCTTTGCCAGAATAAGGGTCTTTTCTAATGAGTTAGCTCTTCGAATCAGATGGCCAAAGTATTGGAGCTTCAGCTTCAGCATCAGTTCTCCCAATTAATATTTAAGATTGATTTCCTCTTTTTTTCCCCACACAATCAAGCACTATTTAAAAATTATTTGTAAAGAGAAAGCTTAGTTCTTACTAAGAACTATGGTTGTGGTTATGTTATGTTACCCCCCCCCCTTTTTTCCCCTTGAGAATGCAGAATAGATACTTCTTTCAGCTTTTAGGCATCATTTGAACTGCTGAGTGGGGTGGGATTTTTAGACTCTTAAATTCCTTCACATCATCACACTAATTAGTCCTTTCCCTTCCCTCTTAGACTTGGAAGCATCAGCTTAAGAGAGAAAATTTGCCAACTATTTTCTCCAAATGCTGGTGTGGACAGCTCTGTAGTTAGGATGGAATCTGACTGGGAAACAAGACTAGACATCTCTTGATTTTTCACTGAAGTGCGGATTCAGAACTAGAATGAGGCGAGGGAGGCACCTGGAATGCAAAATTTAAGGAGGTACTCACTCCCAGATGCTGTGCACTTGCGTGACCTTGAGCATGAATGCCTCCTTAAATTTTGTAGTCTACATGCCTCCCTTGCCTCTTTGGAGTCCTGGCCCTTCTCCTTCACATTCTAGGAAGTTCCAGGGGCTCTAGAAAAGAAACTAGAGCCGTGAGGCTTTCAGGACACACAGAAGGGCATTTGCCTGCTTTCTAGAAGAACACCAGCTTGATCACAAAGGCTTCCTCACTCCTTCTTTTAGAGCTCTTATGCAAGAGAGTTTTGATTGTCAACAAGTCTCTGGATAAGGGCCCCTGTATACAAAGAGAACTATTTATAAAGCCCAAATGAGGTCAAATCTGTTTAAGTGATTTAGAAACCAAAAATCAGTCCTTATTCATGTCCTGGGCTTTCCCCATATATCTTGCCATTTGATTGCCTTTTGTCTTCGGTGACTTCACTTATTTTTATTTGATTTGCACATTGGCACTTCTACCCAAATAAATTAGCAGGTTTTGGAACCAAAGAGCATCTGCTAAAGACGCTGAGGCAAACTGAAAGAAGTCCAGTGGCGGATATGGGGGGAGGGTGCTCCAAGAGGAAGTTCAGCTCAAGTGATTTTAAAGATCAATGTCAAATTTTATAATATGCAATCCATTTCACTAGGAAAAAGCTTAGAGTCTCCCTGAATAGCATTTACTTTTTTAGTGTAAGGACAGTAGGTGTTTTTTTTGTTATTGTTTTTGGTGTGTGTGTGTCTGTGTGCCTACACACTTTGAAAGGACAAATTTAATCTTGACAATATTTGATATTTTTAATTGAGGCCATTACAGGACAATGAGGCTCTAAATGACTTGTTTCGTGTTTAATACAACGATTAGATTTTTTAAATTGCCAGTGCTTTCTCTGCAGTCTTCTATTTGACCTCACTATGTGACATGATTACATCCTTTCCCCCATCTCAGTATGTCTTTTGTTGAAAATAATGCATTTGATTAAACCTGCTTCTGTGTTGAGAAGATGCTAGTCTAGTTATTACAACCTCTCCTGTCTTCTTTTGTCTTTATTTTAATGCAAGTTCAATCCCAAATGCAGTAAATGCTCACTTGTATGATTATGGGTACCTACCATTTTTGTATGGGTGGGGCTTCAAAGGAGATGGAAAACCTTTCTCATTGCAGAGTCTCTGTTGGAATAATCTTGTTACATAAAATAAAATTCACTTTTAAGTCGAGTTTGGCTTTCGATATTGTCCCTGAAAGCTGAGTGACTGTCAAGTTGACAAGCCATAGTTAGTTACTTGTTCTGGGAACATAGGGAGTTGCCTTACAGGGAGTGATTATGTTGCCAATTTGTAGGTTTAAGTATATCACACATACATGCATATTTACATACATACATACATACATACACACATGCATACAATTTGACAAGGAAGTGGTTATGGACCTACCTTGGACTGTTTTAAAAATATACCAGGAAACATCAGAAAAGGCAAAAGACATAGAGAAGACTCTCCTGAGACCATTGCACAAGGACCCCTGCCTGGTGAAGATGAACGATCTCTCAGTTTTCTTTTTAGGAATCTGAGAGCAGCTCCCTTAAGAAAGGTTGCTCACCAGGTTTTTATTGTTTGGTTTCTTCACACAGCTGATTGGCTCCACCCTGCGCCCTTTGAAACAGCAAATTCTCTTCAAGCAGAGAAACCTACCACGCAGTCTCTTAAATAAGTAAATAAACAACATATATATGTTTTGTTTTAAAAAAAAACTTTAAAGCAAAAGTTATACATATATAATAGCGTCCTTTCGAGGTGAAATACCCACGGGAGATTCAGGGGAGGCGCTCAGCGTGCAGTTCGGGTTCTGGAGGCATCTTTGCAACAAAATCCTTGGGAAAAAGCAAAGCAAGGAGAACGTGGAAGTGGGTCGGGCCTCACCGCGGGCCCCTGTGGCGGTGGCCGGATGGCGCCGGTGGAGCGGGTCAGGCGTAGGGCGGACATGGCAACCAAGCCCGCGGGTCCCTGGCCACCTGAATCGCTGGCCTGCTTGGTCTCTCATCCTTTCTCTCTCTTTCATTTTGTCTCGTGTTTTGTTTTGTTTTTTTTTTTTTAAACGCCGAATTCTGTTTCTTAGTATAATCGGTGGGCAACTCAGATGTCGCACTCGCTGTCGCTGGAAGTGATGGAGATGGCCGAAGTGGCTGCCTTGCTGGACAGGCTGGCGGCCGGGCTGGCGGCAGCACCCAGCACCTCGGGCGTGCCCTCTTCCTCGGCTCTTAGCGTCCGGCCGGACCCCTGCGACAGGACCTGCTGCTGAAGTCTACCGGGAAGGAAAAGAAACTGGTCACTGCGCAAAACTAGCCCACCCCTTGGTCCACATCCCTTAAGCCCAGCAGTCAGCCCCTCTCCCTCTGACCCGCGCAGTTAAAACTGATAAGAGGAGGCAAGAGAGGCTGGGCAGGAGGCCTTTGGCGACTGCTCTGGGAGCCTTGCGGTCGCTCCATCGTCCTTCTTAGTCCTTCCTTGGCTCCCCGTCTCCCACTCTTTGGGATGCTGTGCTCACAAGGTCATTCCCGGCTGTTGGTCACCTTTGTGAAATTTACAATATTGTCAGGATAAATGAGACGTCAGTGGCAAGGACAGATGAGACTCTGGGCCAGGAGACCCCTTTCCCAGCTTGTCTGCCTTGGGCGCACCTCTGTGCCGGTACCCCGGAGGCCAAGTCTGCCCCAAACTAGAAGCAAAAAGGGCAGCCTGATGGTTCCCAGGAGGGTTTGGGCCTGGGAGAAGAGGTTGGGTTCTTGGCCAAACTATTTGCGATCCACACACTGGGGAATGAAAAACCTCTGCCAAGTAGTTTGCTGTTTGAGACAGGGCTGCCCACCCATAGAAAGAGCAGAACTCGACTTTCCACGTCTTAAAACATAAGTTAGAAATTTCAAAGCATTAGAGAAGGATGCCTTTGGACTTTAAAATGACAACACTAAACTGCCTCATTGCTAACAAGCCAGGCTTCACCTAATAAATAATAGGAGCTTGGGCCCAGGCTGACAAGAATTAACCTTGGGCCTTGCGGTCTCTAGTTGTTTCTGGGGTTTTAATTTTTATTTCTTTCTCCCTCTCATTGTAGCCTTGGTATGGTGACTGGAACCAGCTGCAGGAGCGACCCCCAGGCGGCGAAAACCAGACAGAAAGGGTGGGGAATCCAGAGCCCGGGAGGAAACCCCCACCCAGGAGCCCAGAAAGCAGTGAGCTCACACCGCAGACCTCCAACCCATCCCAATTCCTGCGGAATCCAGGTCTCCAGGCCTTCGGCAAGGGCGCCGGGGGTGCGGTCACCGGCTCCGTCCCGGTGAGTTCAAGGCTCGGAGGTCTATAGGTACCGACCTGTTTTTGGCTGCAGCTGCCCGATCCCTTTGCCGGCGGTTTTTGAACCAGTTGCCCACCTGCGTAGGGGTCAGTCCGGTTGCCTGGGCGAGCTCACGCTTTTTGCTTGGGTTGGGGTAGGGGTCCTGCAGGTACCATTCCCGCAGCAGGTGCCGCGTGCGCTCCTTGAAGCAGTGTGTCTTCTGTTCGCCGTCCCAGATGGTGCGCGGCAGCGGGAACTTCTTCCTCACTCGGTACTTATCCACCGGCCCCAAGGGCCGTCCACGCAGCTTCTCAGCCTCCTGGTAATGCGCTTCGAGCCACAGCGCCTGCAGTTTGGCGTGCGACTCCTTGGTGAACTTGTGGTTTTCCAGGATATGGTAGAGCTCGCGGTAGTTGCCACCGTGAAAGGCCACGATGGCTCGCGCGCGCAGCACGGATTCATTCTTGTTGAGCGCCTCGCAGGCCGCAGGGGCCACAGGCAGCGACCAGAGGAAGCGACCCAGGCGCTCCACGTCGCCGCTCTCCTCTAGAGTCTCGCATACCCCGGCCACTTGCTGGGGACTGAAATTCAAGATAGGCAGCTGGAACATCGAGGCAGCGCCGGCGACAGCGGAGGCGCTGAGTCCGGAGCGGGACACGCAGCAGATGCCCGCGGGCCCGGCCGGGTGCGCCAGGCTCTCCTTGGTGAAAGCGGCTCGGGGCAACCGGGATGCACCGCCAGGGCAGCGGCGCAACCGCGGGGAGCAAGCGAGCGGGAGGGATTGGAGGAGGTGCCGACTCCGCAGCTCCGGTTCGGCTCGGCTCCGTTAGGGCACGCAGGCCAGCTAGCCGGCGCCGCTACTGGGGTGGGCGGATTGGCGGCTCGGGCGCCATGGAGACCCCCTGTCAGTCACTGGCCGGCTCTGCCAATCAAGACTGCGACCGGAGCGCCCAGGCCATTTCAGCACCTCCCCGCTCTCGACAGCGCCCGCCGTTCTCCGGCGGACTTCGCAGTATTTTGCAGAACTTGGAGGAGGGAAAGACGTGCCAGTGGATGGGAGAGAAAGCGCGAGCCGAGCCGCAGCCTTTCGCTACCACCCCTAGCCCTGTTCCTCCCTCTTCCCCGCAACCCCCCATCCCCACCCCCTGCAAGAGGCGGTGATGTTGCAGAAATGCACTTTGGGGCGAGGCGCTGCCTGGGTCAGGAGGCCTCCAGAGGACAAAGAGGACTGGGCCCAAACGAAATCCTCTGAGAGAACTCACTAAATTTAGTTGTAACGAAACAGAAAACCTTGAAGGGGAACACGAAAGGGGAGGGTGGGGAAGTGGATCATTCCCTTTTCTTCCCTGCACCCATCTCAGCATGCCTTTCCAGCTGCCAAAGCAGCCGAGTGGGAACCGAATCTGAAGCAGAATGAACCGACCCGGGGCCTGTAGAAGAGGTCAGTTTGGACTCAAAACCCATCACCTTCAAAAGCCTCCTAAAATCATTTAAAATCCGAGCTAGGACACTCTCACTTCTGATAACCCAGGCGCTGACCATGAAGTGAAGCACTCGCAACAAAAGGGGCGCTGCACACCCCAAGTTTATACTTTGCAGTCTTCCTCCCCAGTTTAATGGACTTGAACAAATGTGCAGCATAGCCACATCTAGAGTGAGAAGTCACTGGTAGGTCAGGACAGCAACTTAAAAGCTTGTTTCAAAGACCTTTTTAAAAAGTATTGATTTGCTCTTCTTGCAGGCTAATTTTGCCATACCCTCTGTTAGAATATTTAACTCTTGAGCTGGTCATAGAAAATCTAACCTTGGCCTTTGGGCCCAATAGCAATCCAGTAGAAGTAAAATAGAGAAGAGGGAACCACACTAATAGAGAAGGGGTTGCAGAAAGTGCTTCTGAAGCCGCTGAGCACTGATCCCTCCTCAAGAGAGGAAGGGCCTTCTTGGCTGCTCTGCCTTGGGGCCAGCAGTTGAATTGATAACTTTATTGATTCCCAGTTGACATCTTCATCATACCGTTTTCTGAGAAGTAGGTCAAAAGTAACTACCATCTCACCTGGCTTTTAATAGGGGTTTGTTTAGTTTGAAGAAAATAATTGGGAGAGGGGGATCCGGCGAAAACGCCAGGAAAAACCATCTTTGGAGGTCGATCCCCAGGAAGGAATCAGATGGGAATGTTCACTGCCGAACTGAACTGGGCCCGGCTGTCTTTTCTTTAGTATCAAGTACAATTTGTATGCGGCTTGTACGGCTTTGGTAAATCAGAAGGCAGATAGATAGCACAGATGGTTGGAGGTGTCGGGTCAGATCATGCTACGCCTGAGTGCAGGGCAAAGCTCATTCTGACGGAAAACCCTGATATTATTTTCACAGATCTTCACAGTTCACTCAAAAAAAAAAGCAAAGGGGAAGAAAAAAAAGCCCTGCAACCATTTACATCATCTCTGTGAGATTGCCAGCCGCCTCAATGGAGAGACTTTCTTTTCTAAGAGCTTATTTTCATGGAATCCGACAGGGCAGGGGCAAAATAGAGAGGGTGATGGGGATAATGTCAAAGCACAAATCTTCTCTAGCTTGAGGAGACTTCCGAATCCGCCGCAAGGACAGCTTTTAGTGAGAAACACTGTAAACAAGGGCCAACAGTGCGCAGTGTAGAAAACCCGGCAGGCGGGGAAGGGGTGAAGCGGAACCCCAGGAGGGCTATCTCCCGGCACTCCAGGACTGGAAAGAAAAGCACTGCCTCGCTCCGGTTTGCAGAGGTTTCCTAATTTTCGCTCTCGGGGTGTCTCCCCTCTGGGCTCTCCTTAGCCGATCGCTTGTAGATCGCCTTCCGCGTGCAGAAGAAGCAGAAGGTGCCCGGGACCTTACGGCTCTGGAGCCCCGAGGGGAGCCCCAACCTCCGTACCTCGCCGCTGAAGGCGAGCAGAAGTTGTGGGTGCCCCAGGGGACCGCGCCTCTGCACGCATTTTTGCTGCATAATTTGAAAGTGGTGAATTCCGCTTCTTACCCTAAGTCTTTGTGAGCAAGTCTTGTAATTTTCGGAGCCTGGGTGCCCTATCGAGAAAATGGAAACGTTTACTTTCAGATGTCCCCTCTGGCTTCTGAGCGTCTGGGGCTCTCGAGCGAATGGGACCGAAAGCCTAGGTTGGCCACGGTGGAGGGTCGGGAAAAGGGCGCTGGCTGCAGCCGCGGAGTCCGAACCCCGCCTGACGCGGCGTCTGGGGCCGGGGCGCGCGAGTTCTCAGAAGTGTCTGGAGGTCCGGGTCTACGGTCTGGACGTCCTATCTTCACCATCGCAGGGGACTTCGCTTAATTTTATTAACTCAAGGGAAATAAACTTTAGGGCACTCTGCGATCGCGTATTCGTGCATCAGCTTCATTCTGGGAAGGGACAAACGGAAGGAATTTGTGAGCCCTCATCCCTGAAAATGAGAGAAGCTGCAAGGATTCCCTTAGAAATAACTCCGCTGTGAGGAGGATGGCCCCACTCCACGATTGAAGCGCACTTTTCCGGGTTTTCTAGGTGAAGACTGAATCTTTTCTTAATTTTGCGGAGGGAAAGAGTTTGACCAGTTTTGGAACTTAGCGCCAACCTTGCAGGCAACTCACTGCCCATTTTTATTATGTGCTTGACCGGGAAACTTGGAAGACGTAGCAGCAGCCTTTGGGCCCATCTGGGCAGGTTTGCAACTTTCAGTAGTTGGTTTGCAGCTAGTAGTAGATTTGAGAGGCCTTGGATTCTCGCCGGAAATCCCTAGATGGCTATTCTTTCTGCAAACTCAAGACTCACTTTATAGAGAAAATTTTGGAAAAAACGTGTAGAAGACAATGCCCTGCTCCCACCTCCAGGGAAAATTCTGTGTCTAATTGTTCAATGCCAAGGCAACAGGGCAAAGTGCCTCCAGGGAGCTGTGAGGTTCATACCAGAAATCTCCAGAATTCAGTCTGGGACTTCTTGCACTTACCCGTCTCCCCTTGTTGTGCCCCTTCTATGATTTTGCTCTCTAGAGTAGAGGGACACTTGGAGCCCAGGTTACACTCTGCTGAAAGATTTACCAGTGGAGACCAGTGTGCAGAGATCAATACATTCTTATGTCTAGTTTCTAATCTCTTGTCTTGTTTTGTCTTTCTTATTTTTGACCTTTCGTAAATCAAGTTGTAAAATGATGTCTTTGTTTTCCTTCCTGTACAATTCACATAGTCAGGGATTTTACAGATATAGTAACTGAATGCATCTGAGTTCCTTGATAAAGACTTTTGTGCTGCATGTGAGAATCACAGACTGACTGACAATGAGGTCCCAGCCTTTTGTGTAAGTCCTTTTTGACTTTGGGGGGAGAGGTCTTTGTTTCCCTTTCCTGGGCCTCAAAGCCTTGTGTTGCAGATAGGTGAGAATAATGTTAAAAAAAAAATCTAAGATTAAAAGGCAGTTTACTGTCTTTGAAGTTACAGTATTAAAATTTCATACTCATCTATTCATGCACTTAGTATTCTGATTTTCAGATACCATATACATAAATATAAATATATGTTTGTTTATGTATTTGGTGGTCCAGATCTCCAGATTATGAAATTAATTTAGTATCCTAGTTCTAAAAGTACCAACTATCCTAATAAACTCCCAAGATAGATTGCTATCTTTCATGTATTCCTGTCCTTCCTGTTTGCACCTTGTAACAAAGAACAGAGATGCCTCTTTTATTGTGTATTCCTAAGAAAAAACACAATTTGAGAAATGTTTTCTAGATTTCCCGGTGCTGTAAAATTAACTGGCAAAAAAGTATTACAATAAAAGATGTTGATCTAATTTTAAGAAATTGGGATTTTTTTGTTATTATTTGCATAATTATTCACCATATATTTTTTTAAATGATGCAAAATTTCTTGTGTTGTTAAGTGAAGGAAATATTTATAAGTTTAAATGTGGGAAAATGCACCATTTAAAGGTATTGATTAATTATCAGTAATGGTTTTTTAAAATGTTAAGCTGACAGTGCAACTCTGTGTTGACCTCCAGTTTGTGGTTGCTCTTAGGTGTTTGGATGATAATTTGTATCTAAGCCAGAGAGTATATTACAAGTTATACCACTTATTTAAGCTATGGTTTTAAATTCACTTTTCTCATATTTATGCTTCTGTGAGGGTAAGTCTAAATCTTGGGGTTAACCACACCACAGCATAGCTTACTTAGGGCTTTGTATCAGTGGGTTCTTATGTGAAGGACTGATTCTTAAAAATGTAACTAGCGTGTCATTTATAAACACTTTATTAACAGTAATGGAACATTAGTTGAATGAATGAAATAATAATTAATTTGTAATTCTCTACTAGAGCTTTCTATTTTATTTTATTTTTTACCAGCAGGTTATTTTTGGCCATTTTCGAATCCAAGATCAAAGTATCTTTCTAAAATACACGTAGACACTTTATAATTCAATGAAGTAAAAGCGTGTAAATCAGTCTATGTCTTCTGGCATGAGTCAAACATTATTCACATTAAATTGTGTGTATTATATGTCATGTATATGTATTAATTACATGTATTATATGTGTAATAAATAATAATTTCCTTCCAATCAGTGTAAAATCAAATAGGAGCATTAGCCTGCAATAAATACTTTGAATTCTCTGAGTTAATCCAGTTCATTAGTGGAAAATACTTTGAAAGAATTACATTAAAATATAATTTTT